GCGGAATTACGCCGAATCCCCTTGGCAGGCCAGTCGAAGTGCTATCTTTTGGGCCGTCCTTTAAAGCTAAGGAAGTGAGTACTTTCATTGGCGATTGAATCTGTGTGTGTGTGTGTTTTATAGCAGTAGCTGATGTGTAGAAGAGCTTTACCAAAGTTCCGACTGATAATGCGCTTTTGATAGTAGGCATCACTAGTGCAAAATTGGCTGAAATGATGAATTCCTACTGTAAATCTAAACCACAGATATAATGTGGTTATTTGAGCTATGAATCTGTAATGTTTCAGCAGTATACCATATGATTCATAAGTCTCCGTCTCTGGAAACCAAAACACAACAACAGCAAGAACAAACTAAATAATTCAGTAACATCCTGTCCATACCAGTATTGATTATTAGTTTCAATGAAATTCAACATCTTTTCATTCATTACAGCGACATACCACTGTTTGTCCCGTTTCACAGTTGGTTACATGGCAGGTTACACCAAGCCACCAAAGCCATTAGTTCCGGTGTTTTAAGAGGTACGGATAACATTTGAAATTCGGTCACATTAGCAAAATAAAAGAGATTGTGCTTTCGTACGAAACGGTTGAGGTAAAAGGAAACTTCGTCTGTGAAACAAAATTTTCGGTGGAAATTGGTACTGTCTCCGTAGTCTGTACAGCAGCAGAATTATATTCTCCTATGGAGATCATTGTTTTGAAAGGATACTTCAAAGATTTTATTTCTTTCTTGAGAACAGAACTATGTGATGTCACACACGCTTATGCAGTTTTTCGTTGATTACGCTTTTATACGAAAACGACCAACTTTGCTTTACAAAAGTCTACCAGGCAGCCTTCCTGATCGCGTCTTAATTTACAGGTTCTTCAGACTTCTATATTGAATTGTTGTCCTAACTCATAGTGCACGATTGAAAAGTTGGTGAAAACGTCGGAAAATTTGGCAAGACTCTCCTACAATACGGTGCGATATAGCGGCACTCGAAACTTCGCTATCACGAACTAATAAAGAACAATAAGGAATATTACTATGAAATAAAGAGCATCGGCAACAGTATTTTATGTAGTGTACCTCACTAATCCCTACTCCCAGCATGTTTTCCTATGAAAACGGTAGTTATACAGTTGTATGGGTGAGAAATTAGGTTAGGCAGTGGAATATCCTTTATTCACGAATTGAGGCAAAAGTTCGCATCCCAGGTATGTGCATAGATTGAGAAGAAGTAGTTTCGATCACCGGAATCTGAGTTTTATTGGTCTGGGCTTTCGAACTCTTGCAGGCGCCCATCGTCAGAGATAAAACCACCAACGAAATCAAGCAAAATTTACAGGGTGAAGGGGCGTTGACGGTTAATTGGCCCCTTCTCCCTGTAAATATTGCTTGCTTTCGTTGGCGGTTTTATCTCTGACGATGGACTCCCGCAAGAGTACGAAAGCTCAGACCAATAAAACTACGATTTCGGTGGTCGAAACTACTTCTTATCAATCTATATTCTTTACTTACTGCTATATGCATTTTTATTTTATTGTGTTTAGAAATATTGTTGATTTATATCTGTAGATTTTCCTAATCTGTATTATCGTTTAGCGTTCTGTGCAAAAATCCGATTTTCAAATTACAGTTTTGTTGAAATTCCTGAAAAATAGAAATGGTTGTTGGGAGGTCGTCTACTTCAACTTACCTGAGGTCCAACTTACCGTTCTAAAGTTAGATTAGTATAGTCCGTGGCGCAAAGCCCCGCGCACACCTTCAATTAACATGTGGAACAACTTACTCCCAGCGGCCGCGGGAGATAAATTCGACTACATTTTTTTCAATTTACACTTCCCAAAATTTCCTTCGCTGTCTGTCCTATTTTCCCCACCCCAAAGACCCTATTACCGCCGTTTCCGTAGGGCAAAATGCGGAGACTAGGGGTATATGAGATGCACTACTTAAACTGCCATTGCCGCCTTCCCTGTTTTGTGGGTTCGTCTCTCACAGAGGTCCCGAGTTTTTTCACAATTGGGTCAACTGACTTATTCAAATCTGTCAATCCCTCCTAAGAACTG